TCTGGGCAGCCTGTGCCAGGGCTCTGTCACCCTCACTGACAAGAAGTGTTTCCTTAAATTCCTGTGGAACTTTTGGTGCCTCAGCTTGTGGCCGTTTCCTCTAGTCCTGTCGCTGGCCACCACTGAAAAGAGGCCGCCCCCTCCTCCTCACTGCCTCCCTTGAGGTATTTATAGACACTGCTCAGGTCCCCCCTCAGCCTTCTCTTCTCCAGGCTGAACAGGCCCAGCTCTCTCAGCCTTAATGCAGTATGCTCTCACTGCCCCTCCAGTTCAGAAACAAACGCCAGAGATGGCATTGCCTGGGCACCATTGCCTGGGCAATCTGCACAGATTCCAAGAATGCCTTGCAGTCAGCATGCAACAACTTCCACTGTGACATGAGAAATGCTACCTACATGAAGAATGTCTAAATGCAGCTCTGTCTCAGGCATTTGTAGCCTAAGTACCATAAATTAAAAAAGGACAACTTGCAATCTCATAAGCTAAATGCACTCATGGCTTGAGAAACAGTACCAGTGGGAGCTACGGATGGTTGACTTCAGGAGATATTGTCTTCTCCATGCAGTCATCTCCTTCTGACCTGATTCTTTCTCCACCCTTAAAGACATTACCCAACTGGAATGGAGATCTGAAGAGCCAGAGCGAGGGCTACCACACAACTGAAAAGCCTTTTGCACAGATGGTGCACAGAGCCAAAATACAGTGCCAATTTGTGACATAGCATGCTTTGGAGACATTTGATCAGCAGAAGGGTCAAGATACAACCTCATCTGTAGGGTCCAGAGAAGCCTGGACCAAGCCTAGAATCAAACTGCAATTCAAACTGCTCTGCCAAAGCATGAAGAGAGTTTACATAATTTGCAAATTGTTTGCCTGAACTAGGCATTCAAATTCAGTATTATTCGCTATTGCCACTCTACTACAAAAAGGTCAAAACTTCATTTCACTCCAGATTAAAGTTATTTATGCTAACTGGAATGGGATATGGATAACTAAGAAAATCTAAGAACCATAGATTTCATTTTTTTCCAGATGCTATTCCTTGCTTTCTAGTTAAATTAATTATTTGTAACAGCTTCTAAAGATAAAAATAGGATATTGCAGTGTTAGGTTTGCGCACTAAGTCTTCTAAATGCTTGAATGGCCCTTTCCAACAAATTCTTTATATGAATATTGACAGCTTAATGATAGAATCTCCAATTCAAGTTGTAAGACATAAGATTATTTCTACTCATTGCAGGTGACCAAATCATGGTAACAGGGTGCAACTGAACCATGGAAGAGAGATATTTCTATCAATACCAAAATAGTCTGTGGGAATGCAGAATTATTTCTAACAACTCTTTCTTCCACATCTTTTAGTTATTTTGTGATAATGAAAGAATGAGAAAGAGGGGGGGTTCTTCCAAGGATCTAAGAAAATGCGGAAAAACAAGTATGTTAAGTTTCACTGTCTTTCAGTCTTAAAATAATCACAAGAAATATACTAACTACAGATGTAGAATTACTTAAAGAACAGCACAGATGCAAATAAGTACAGAATTAAAAGGTCTTGAAATCTATTATTTCAGTAAAAATGATTTGACGACCAGATGAAAATTTATGCCATTTCTTAGGTGAAAGCTGAATTATTCATAATCACAGTGGAAAATACACAGTAGAAAGGCACAATAAAATGCTTTCTCAAAGAGTGTCTAACAAAATATGAAACTGTTACAGTCGCATGCTAAGTGCATACACAGAATTTTAATATCTCAAATTTAATTGCCATCCAAATGGCTTATTACTGCAGGCAGATTTTGGAACGTACTGTGTTCACAATATAAGCATTTATCAAATTTATTTTATCTTGCCTTCTTAAGTGCTTGGAAGAATAAATAAATACATATATTTTTACAGTAATACAAAATTTGGAGAGAAAAATTAAATAGATAATCCCAGAGTCCTCAGTAAAAAGGGAAGACCATATTACATGGCAGCTCTAAAGTAAAGAGATTTCTAAATATACCCTTTAAAATGTGTGCTGAAAAGTGGAGAGATCTAAGAAACAAGGTTCTGCCAAGTGCCCCCTTTACTATTCCTGTTTGATGCGACGCCAAAATATTCCTAGCAGACAAGTTTACAGAACTCCTGTACCATCAACTAAATAGGCTAAATCATAAAGCACTAAGACGGCAGGTTGAATATAAAATGGGTTCAGGTGTAGTAAAACAGCAGGGTTTGCTGAACAGTAACAAGGAAGACTTTGGAAGACTTACGTTACCACTGATTGTGATGCCCAGGCAGGGAAGGACAGCCTACCAAGACTGACAATTTCACAGTATGTCAAGGTTTGGGGTTTTTGTTGTTCTTGTTGTTGTTGGGGTTTTCTTTTGCAAAAGTATTATTAAAAAAAAAAAAAAAAAAAAAAAAAGAGATTCTTCTCTTAGATTCTTCCATTTTCTCAAGACACCTCCCTTTAATTTTTGCATTGTTCAAAGGCCAGACAGTGAAGAAAATAAGCATAAACAACAAGCATTTTGTCTAGCAATGTAAATGTTGCTCAGAAAACCATGCCGCAATTTAAAATCATATTCCAATAAGGGGAGTAAGAGTAAATTTCACTTTCAGAGCATTCTTTCTTCACTGTAGGAAGAGTAGGGGGATGCCATCTTTGTTGCACCTAAACCTCAGGATCTGTGTATCCACCTCTCATACACTGTTAAGTATGGTGAGAAAGAATTATGGAATCTTTCCATAAAAATAATTCTTAATATGATTCCATTGTCCCTGAATTGTGAATGAGAACAGGTGCAGAAGAAGCCTTCACCAGTGTTACTATCTCCCAATAAAAGAGATCAGGCATGCGGAATGCTAGAAGCAGAAGATTTACATCAACAAAATATTAAAGGTATAAAAGACTGAATAGTGGAAAGCACAATTTATCAGGATTGCTTTGCTGCTGTAATATTTCTGCCGAATGATTGCACTGTCAGTTTTACTATGTGCTTTATGGATTAGATTGCTTTGGGCAGTTCCTCACAGCGTCTCTGCAAAAACACAAATAATCTTTTGACAACAACTACAGCTTATATATATATTTGCCTGTATAAAATATACATATAGAAAATGATAGCATGTCCAGATGAACTGTTACAACTACTTTTTGGTCTAAACCCTTCTTGCTCTATCACCCAGAAATACTGTTGAGCCACAGCAACCTTCCAAGCAGAGAAAAGACAATCCGGGAACAGCAATTTCTGCAACAATTTCTACAACAAAAGGATGTATTCGAGTGTATATCCAAGAAAATTCCAGTATAAGGCACATTTTTGAATTAAACTGAAAATAAGTAACTGCCCCATTTTGCTTTTTCAGCTCACCTCTTTAGTTTGAGTTAGATATTATTTCTCTGTAGGAAATGGCATGGCTTAATATATGATACCTATACTAATGTGTATTGCTATGATGGACAGAAAGAGACTATCACACATAGAAGTGCATGAGAAACTTGAAAAGCAAAATTATTTCATCCAGTACATATTTTAAGATATGAATAATTTATTTGTATGCTTTGGAATTATAAAACATAACTTAGTCATTTACAAAAACAACTTGAGAAAAACATCAAAATATTTTGTGTAAATACAGAAACAAATCCATCTCCTACATTTCTGCAGAAGAGGAAAAATTCTTTATCAGTAGTTTGTAATCATTATGATCTCCTAAATGATCAGTAAATTCTATATTAATCCAAGCTTCTACTATAATAGTAGATAAATTGAACAAATAAATAGCTATCACATGCAAATCATAAATAAATTTTGTTAAAATTACAACAGTAAATGCAACTAATTACTTTCCTATCCTACTATCAAATCATCTCTAACCAACCATATCACTTAAAATTTAATAACTAAAACCAAATGATTTAATTCTTTGGGAAAAGCTCAGTTTTATCATTTTTAGACTTATTTTCATGTATGAAATTATCAGGAAAAATGGAGGAAAACACAGAAAATAGTCATTTGCAGTAGTGCAAATATCTTAGAAAAAAACAGTTGAATGTATTGGCAAGTCTGAAGAAAGAGATAAGTATAGCTAGAGCTAAATATCTGTGAAGCTATTTCCTACATGTTATTTGTGAATTCAGTAAAAACAACAATAGTTTTCCATTACTTTATTCATGGAAATTTTTATCCCTTCCTTTTTCTCCTTAACTGATCCTTCAAACTATCAAGCATTTTATTTTACAAATGAATTTCTTAGCAACTCTGTTTTTCCTTTCTAGTACTCCAGGGGCTTAGAAAATTATATTAGTTGCAGCATTAATCAATAAAATAAGTAAACTAATAACAGTTTTAAATAAATTAAAAAGAGTGCTTTTCAAGTGTATTAATTTCATTTGAAAATAAATACTTTTATGAAGTTCCTCAATTTAAATTTAATTTAGAATTTTAATAACTCATATTTTTCTACCTAATAGTTCACAAACGTACTTATGATGTTGTTGCTCACTTTGGCAGTCCCAAGTTTTATTTATTTGGATGTAAGCTTTTCTTTCAAAGCTGCATCCCTGAATGGGCTCAGGCACTCTTTGTATTATATTACACTTGTAACATCTCATCTGACATCACTTTCCCATGCTCTAGTTGCCTTTATATATCATCATCACAACCAACATTTGCACTTTGGTGTTAAGACATTATTTATAAATGAAAATATATTTCCAAGTATCAGATAATTATTGCACGAGTGAGGGAAAAAGTATCTGTTTTCCAAAAATCCACATTATACAATTGAGAAGAACTATCACTGAGGGAATATCAATTATTATTATTACTATTTTAAGTATCATGTATAAATTTCATTGACATAGGGCTAATTCTAGTTTCCACAGGAATCAGATTCATTTACCATATTCACTGAAAGTATTAATCAGAGTTTTATACAAACTCTACATATCAGGTACCATAAAAGATCACATCTTGTAAAAGTTCAAAGTAAAAACAAGAAATTACCTTGTGTCTGTTTGAGCAGAAGGCAGAAAGCAGGTTCCTTACGGGGGGACTTGGCTTGGGCAGAATCAGTCAACTGCTCCTGACAATAGGACTGCTCCTGAACTACAGAGGAAAGATTAGGGGAACTCATTTAGAAGCAGAAATTGACTGAAAAACTTTTCATAGAAAATGAACTTCTTAGACGGATGTTTTTCAAAATATATTGATATGGCTTTTTTTTTTTCTTTCTCTTAAAGATATTTTTATTATTGTGCTATTGTGCTGAAGCATAGATATAATAATCATTTAAAATAACATCAAATAAAAGAGCAAGCCATTAAAAAAGATTGAATCTTCTCAGTTAAATAATAGTTACAAAAAATCTATTTACTAGATACCAAAAAATCAAAATAGCCAGAAAAGCCCATAATATTATGAAATGTGCAACATAAAGCTTGAAAACAGGATCTCAGAACTAACGCTATTGTAACAATGACAGATAATAATAACTACTGCTTTCCTGATGACAAGTTATTCAATCAACCAAAAGATTACTTCATAATGACCCAGGATTTTAACATTATTTTGATTGTTTTCAATTTCATTGTTTCATTAATTGATTGTTTCATTAATTAATATCAATGTTGTAGAGAAATGAAAAATGAGACATGAGAGAGTTGTGGAAAAATTTATCATTATGTAAAAATGTTCTAGAGCTGTACAAGCAACCAAGGTCTCTAGCTAAAGGATTCAACAGTCAGAGACTGTAGGATATATCTTGTTGGAAATATGTGTATAGGTTAACTCCAAGAATCTGAGCCCAACAGATAGATCATTGCTGATTAATATGTCATAATAAAGGGCAGTAGCACTGAATGATGAGCTGCTGAGAATAAGATATGATATATGTGTATGCATTAGACATCTTGGGAAAGATTTCCATGTGGGGCTAGAGAACAAAATTAAGTTCACTTGGAGAGACAGAACAATGAACTAAGAGGTCCAGGAAAGTGACAAAAAGCTGGAAACACCAACATTTCTGCCCCTTTTCTGCCCCCTTTTCAGAGGCAGAAACGGCCTCAGAATTCTTTCACCTCAGGAACAAGTTTCCAGATTTGGAAACTGGATTAGTGTAAAAGGGTTAGTGTAAAAGTTTCAGGATTTGGAAACTAAATTAGTGAAATTTGCAACTTACAGGGGACTATTTAAAGATTACGGAGACCTTTTACAAATATCAGAAGCTGAGTGCATAAGTCTACATACCTATTTTAGTATACTAGTAAGACAACTATTTCCCAGGCTGTTGTGAAAGCTTTCCCTAATTAGTCTGGAGGAACTCTGTTCTATATATTCTCCATTATGCATGCACTCTGAGTACTATATATTTCTTTTACTGGAAGGGTTTTGAAGAGATTAGTATATATGTAATTTATTTATTTAGCAAAAATATATATTTTGATAGAGCTATGCAATAAATTGCTGATGATTTTTTTGCTATAAATACCACTATATAAAATTAACATGCTTCACATTATGTTTCACAATGCTTCAAAAATGCATTTATCAGACTGGAAGCATACGTAAAAATTACACTTTATTTTCCTCCTTGGTGGCTAAAATCATGATTGCCATTATGCCAAAATCAGCACAAAGTAATCTCGGCAACTTTACTTTAAATTGATTAAGCCCCTTCAAAATTGATTAAAAATGGCAACATCTTCAATTTCCCATTACTTCCACATTGTCTAACATACCTATCCCAATATTTATGTCCAACATATTTTGCCTGAAGGAAAAATAACTGCTAGTAGCAGACTTACCTTTGAGTATTTAGTTCAATTAAATGACTTAATAAAGCTGCAGAAAGCAGTTTCTTAAAGATTTCATCACCTTCATTTAAACAAGTGGCAATCCCAGTTTGGAAATCTCAGGATGGAATTGAGATGGCTGAGCTACCAGCATGCAACCCCACCTTGGAAATACAGTAAGTTTTAATAATCCTTAATTTTTAAGCCACCTATTTAATGTGACTGTGAGTGAGCCATTACCAAAAGCCATCTCAAATAATGTTGTAGAGGTCAATTTTGATAATGCAGATAACACTGGATTCTAGGGAAGAACCAATTAACCTCCTTTAATCCATTCCTAACTTTCATGTTTTATTTGTTCATAGCTTTCAATCTTTCAGGTAAAAATCCAGTAAAAAAAAAGAGTAGCACTTTTTTTCCAGAAACATGGAAATACATTTGGTCCACTAGAATGGATAAATTATCCAGGTCAGATAAAGTAAAGCATTCCAGGCACTAACTGCTAAAGAAAACTCTTGCACAGGTGCACTCTGTGGTCTGATCTATACCGGAGATTTTGGTATTATCAATCACATATCTCTTCAGCTATATCCATTAAACCTTATTAGAAGAATTACACATTGGGGTTTACACAAGAAAAACATTGAACTTGAAAGAGCTGACAAATGGTCGCTACATGATCTGTCGTAAGCGTTTGCATACTCTCTAGCTTTGATCTTTGGCACAAATTGGGGAAAAAAACCTCTTCTGTCACATAAACATTGCTCCCATGAGCACTGCCCCAGATACATATATCAATCCTGGATTAAAACAAAAACAATAACAAAAAAGCATTGTTAAATTCAATGCGAAAATGCTGATTAAGTTTTGGGAGCCCAGGTTTTCATCACTTCCTCATAAATTATGAGACGGTGTGTGGTTTTACTTACTGAAGATGAAACATTGTTTGAGTTACAATATGATTCAAAATACACATGAAGAAGCATTTCCTAGGAATAATGCTCTTGCGTTTCACAAAGCTTCAGAAATCAAAATGATAACATCAAGAGCGGCACAGCTAAGATGTTTCCCAATTAATTTCTATTTTAATTCTGTATTCCATTGTCACATATAGTGCAGTTACATTCAAGTAACGATGGAATGTTACTTGAAGTAAGAAACAGCTAACATTAAATCTTCAAAGAACTAAATTCTACAAATGTTGCTGAATTCCAAAAACATGCTTCTGTGCTAAAATAACATTTTCTTTTAATTATTAAACATATTTTCAAGGTCTGAGACAGATTCAAAAACTGAATTATTCACTGACATTATGATCATTTTCTGCTCTTTGGATTAATGTTTTTGATAAAAAAATCTATATATCTTTGGAATTATTAGCCTTCTGCTCTCCCTTTGAGGATTATGTTAAGATTGACATATCTCAGACTAAAATGCATAAGTAAATCACATGGAAGGTTACTGTAGTCATGTCCAAAGTAATAATTCTATCATTCCTAATTAGATTATGCTTTCCCAAGTGTGTAGTTCCTCTGCAACAAGAGATTCAAGGACAAAGATAGATACTTCATGCCAAAACACATAAATAAAGTGTAAAGCATCACGATATGAGGAGGAGTCTTTGTGACTTCAATGATTTTGAAATATTATGTGCAGTTTTAGACACTTCATTAACAAACTGATTTAAGCAAAGTCATAGCAAAAAAAAAAAAAAAATCATAGGACCTAAGAAAAGACCAACTTCATGTCAACTGAAGTTCATTTCTTGGTAGGAAAGGTGTATCGCAGCAATTCACAGAATGTCTGAGGTTAGAAGGGACCTCTAGAGATCATCTAGTCTATCTTGTCCCCCTGCTCCAGCAGGGACACCCAGAGCACGGGGCACAGGGCGGCATCCAGGCGGGTTTGGAAGATCTCCAGAGAAGGAGACTCCACAGCCTCCCTGGGCAGCCTGGGCCAGGGCTCTGGCACCCTCACAGGAAAGAAGTTCCTCCTCACATGGAGATGGAGCTGCCCGTGTTTCAACTTATACCCATTCTTCCTTGTCCTGTCACTGGCCACCACTGAGAAGAGCTTGGCCCTTCCTCCCTACATTCCCCCTTCATGTACTTTTACAGCGCAGCCGCCTGGAATGTCGGCCAATCCACCCACTGATGAAAGTATAAAGGTTCATGGAAATAAAATTGGTTATTTTTGGTCAAATGTGCAGTCTCCATCTTACATTAGGCAGAGACCTATAGAGGATCCTATAGCTAGCACAATATATAAGGATTCTATAGTTGGCACAATCGGATCCTTAAAGGTGCATTAGAATCTTTGTCTTGCACAGGTCAGGTTACTACTAAGGATAAAGAAAATAGCTTAAAATCTCATATAATTGTTTATCTTCCAAAAGGAAATAGTGATATGTAACAAAGCACACATAGTGATCTGTAAAAACAATATGTGAAATGAATCACCAAGTTTACTTATTTATTTTGTTTTTAATAAAATGTAATTCTTTGGAGACATATGGAACCAGTTCTAAAAAGCAAGGAAAAAAAAAAAAAAAAAGGGGAAAAAAAAGGAAGGGTAATAGGAGCAATGTATTCATTTTAGTATTATTTTATAACCTGATTGATTAGTCTGTGGGTTGGCAAATTCATTCTGAATGTTGAAAAAAAGTTAATCAACTGAACAGCAGGCAAACATATCTGTATGGTACCTACAATATTCGAGTTAGTATATTAAAATATTATTTGCTTTCGCTCCAGGTAAATGAAGTCTTGCTAACATTAAACTAAATTTATATGCCATTATGGAAATTATTTTCCAGGACATGTAAGAACTAGAAATATATTCTGAACTGCTGCATTCATGAAATTGCTTCTAAGACTAGACTTCTCTTCCTTTGAAAAGAATGAAATGAGAATTATGACAAATATTTCTAGAGAGAGCAAAGAGCAGCATGTACCACCAATTCTAAAGATAACTTGAGTACATAACATAACTATCTTACTGTGATTATAAACAAGTAAACATTATTTATAGGTCGCCAGTGACAACTGAATTAGAAAACTAACATTATAAATTAAACAGATTAACAAATTCAAGACATAGTTTAGAGGACAAGTGTAGTCTTGGTTACATAAAGACCACAGCAGAAAATTCATTTTCTCAGAGAAAACATTTAGTAATTCCACTACAGATCACAGAATATTAGATGATCATCATGTCAAGTCTACTGATGTGTAAGGAAAAAAAATGAAGACTGGAAACTTCTGATGCATAAAAGCCAACATTAGTCTTTCTTTGTCTAAGTCAGTTGCCTGTGCACTGTCTCTCTTATTGAAAATCTCCCTAGGACATGTTAATGTTCTGTAGTCAAAAAGACAACTACGTTTTCATTAAAATATTTAAACTAGGCAGTTTCTGCAAATTTAAGAATTTAAGTCTCTCAGAATGTTACATTTTAGTAGTTTTTAGCATCCACATTTAAGCTTTATAAATCATTTTTGTTAGGATTGTATATTTTGTATAGTGGAGAGGTTTGGTTCTTTTTTCGAACAGCATTAGATTAGCATTTTTACAAATAGTACTTATTAGTACAAGAATATTAAGCTATGCTATTTGGCAGTGGATTTATGCCCAACAAGCCAAGCAGCTTGCTTTTCATAATGGTTCCATACATCCATTGTTGCTATACAAATCAGAATACCAATTTACATTTCACACTAGAATAAACCAGGCTGCCCTCTACAAAGTGCAATGGGAAACTTCATGTCACGTATATAACGCACCCCTTTTACACTTCATGAAATGCTGTCATCAAATAATTTCTGATCAAGTAAGGCTGGCTGCACAGCTAGTACTTCAAAGTGCTTCTGTGTCTGGGCTAGGATAAAGGGGAGATGGAATGAGAGCGGGAGGGAAATAAAAGGGACTAACATTTGCAAGGAAGTTTACATGATTTATCGTTACTGAAAATGTCTAAGTTTACTATTTATCTTCAGCGGTCCAATGACTGACAAATTGAAGAACAAGAGCAAACACAAAAAGTGGTATTCCAACCATGTAGCAGCTTTGCAGTTTATCATGTGAGTCTCTCTCTCCCTAATTTACATCGTACTCTGTATCCTCATCCATGTTGTTAAGAGAGATCTTGAACAATACAGACCACAGGACTGACCCTCGGGGTACTATACTTATTATGAAGCAGGAGCTGAATGTCAAGTTGGTCATGGCTATGGCTATCTTTTGAGACTAATGGTCCAGCCAAGTTTCCAACCCAAGCAACAGCCTGTTATCAAGTCCACACTTCCTTAGCTTCCAAACAGAATATTAGAATTAACAATGATAATTCATCACAGAGGAAGGGGCCAAGCTCTAATTCATTTTTAGCTTCAGCTTACTTTTGTGCGCTTTGTGGCTCTAATAGAAAGAAATCATATAGTATACAGCAAAGACCTAATAAAATTAAGGGGCCACTGTGGAAAAAAAAATGGGCACCAATAACAAAGCAAATGTAGCAACAAAACTTTTGGAAATATATAAGAAATAAGCTCAAGCAGATCCAGACTGAAAATGAATAAACAAGCATCATCATCTCTTTTCCAGGGAATAAACTGTGATGCTGGCAACTCTCTGTGATAATGCATTAGTTTTAATTCATATTGCAGAAGTTGTAATTTATTCAAAAGCATGAATCCATTACAACAATGAATCTACTCTATTAAAAGATTTATTTCTTCACTTATTTTACACACCACAAATCCCAAATCACAGCATGACGGTGTAAACCTGGCTTAAAACTTACCTTAGCACAGGTTTGATTTTGCTGATGTTTTTTACATTCTTGCTGGATCCATGGTGGGCTAGGAGCTGATGAAAGCTGTATATTGAATTTTTGTTATACTCAGGTGCCAGAAAATGCTTTAGTGCTTCTTTACTGTTATGCTAGACTAGGTGGAATTTTCTAAAATTTAGAGTTTTCTAAAGCTCTTTCACCATGTAAATTTCAGTCATAAAGTAGAATATGGAACTTGAACTTGATTTTGATCATCTGTGAAATCTCATTATGGACAGTGATTTTAGTATCTTCACTCTCTCTGAATTTTACACTTTTTTATAATACGTTTAAAAATACTGGTATTTGCTTGGAAGGTCAGTCTGAACTAACTTGAAAAGCTTTGTTATTTTGAGCTTCTTTAGCTATCTGTAGTATAAAATACCTAAACAGTATAATATATACTTTTGCCTTATGACTGTGGTCCACAGTCACAAACTAGCTGCCTGTATGCATGAGATTAGTATGTCGTCCTAATTGGTGTGCTGTGCAAAGGTTTGTGTTATTTCTCAATTTCCCAGCACAGTCTCTGGAGCTTTCCAGGGTCAGTGTGAAAGGTGCACAACATCTCAGTTGCCAGTATGTAAAATTCAGCAAATGTAACCATAACTACTCAACTCATGCCCAAGTCAGTTACGTTACTCCAAAAATAAAATACTGTACCTGTTAGTTCCACATCTACTAGTACATTTTCAGGAGCTGGATTTCTGAAGGATATGATGACAGAAGAATGCTGATCAATGCATGCACTTATGCTAGTTGTTTCCATCAGCTGAGGAAGAAGACCAGTTCCAGAAAGGTAAAATAGCCACTCCTGTAGCTGTAGATAAAAAATGGTGTCATTATATATTATTTGACAAGTCTTACCAGTGCATTTTAGGACAAACTACCTTCTTCCATCTTTCTAGTGTTCTCTATTTTCTATAGTACATGAAGTGCTACTTAACATTTTCTTTCTTTCTTCTTCCCTCAAGCTATTATGTTACCCATATTGCTATCTGGAAACCAATAGCCTCAAAGTGTCAGGCTTTTTATGTGGGAGTTAGGGAGTTATTCTTCTTTGCATTTAACTTTTGTGTACTCAGAGCATCTGTGTAACTATTCAGGGCTGCCAATGTAGCGAATGAACAGATGTGGGTGATAGCAAGAGGGCTATTGAGAGCACATATATTAAAACCTGCAAACAGATGAATTAAGAAGTCTTCTTCAGAAGACCGAGGCAAATAATTCATGGAGGAGAAAGCAGTAGAATCACCAAAAAGCTAAAATTATTACTCCACAGGTAAGAAAGGACTTTAAATATAAAAAATACACACAGAAGAATCAAGAACACAGATAAGAACTGGTTGATCTAAAGTATCACCATACTGGAGGATTGGGAGAGAAGGTATAAGGAAGGGAGAGAGGGAGAGAGAGAGACAAAGGTAATGAAGCTAAATGTGTTTATCTTTTTTTTTTTCCCCAAATTTTTCCCCAATTTAATTTTTTAAGATAATTTTAAAGTGATATTAACAATGCCACTCATTATGGAAGTTTTAAAGATGAATAAGCAGTAAAAGTAAACCAAAAATGTTAAGGTACATGTTAAGGTTATTTTAAAGAAAATGTTTAATGATACATACATTTACATTCCTGGCTTTAAACTAAGTAACAAACATACAGACTAAAATTTCAGGTTCATTATGAACTCCTCAAAATGACTCACTGCTCAGCTTTTTTCCACTATGTAGGCACCCCATACATTTCCACAAAATGTATGCATCATAAAGAGAATAGAAATTAATAAATAAAAATTGAAATGCTATTGCCATTATCCACAATAGTGGATTTAATTCTAAGTAACCCGCCTGCAAAACCCTCTCTTTCTAGAGAGAGTCCAGCGGAGGGCAACAAAGATGATTAAGGTACTGGTCCTGTAGGAGGAGAGACTGAGTGAGTTGGGGTTGTTCAGCTTGGAGAAGGCTGAGAGGGGATCTGATTAACATGTACATGAAGGGAGAATGTAGGGAGGAAGGGGCCAAGCTCTTCTCAGCGGTGGCCAGTGACAGGACAAGGGGCAGTGGGTGTAAGTTGAAACACAGGCAGTTTCATCTCCATGTGAGGAGGAACTTCTTCACTGTGAGGGTGACAGAGCCCTGGCACAGGCTGCCCAGGGAGGCTGTGGAGTCTCCACATCATCCAGTCCGTGCATGGACTGGATGATGTGACAATCTCTAGAGGTCCCTTCCAACCTCAACCAGTCTGTGATTCTGTGAAAAAGAAAGAAAGTCTGTAACAGAGAAGGTTCAAAATCTAGCAACAAATCCAGAAATACTCACGGTTAAATGTTACTAAATCATTGAGGCTTCTAAATATAAAAAGGGCTAAATAAAATATAATGTCATAAGTCTTCAGAAAATTGTCTTAGATGGCAAAATTGCTTGCCTTTATCATTCAATGCGACAAGGAAAAAGGCATTTTAAACTTGCTAAAGGTAATCTCTTGGTAGAAGTCATCCAGGGCTACAGCATTTTAATAGAATCTTAGAAAGAAGGAAGAAATGTTTCTATATTAATGCAGCAACCACCCAATGCTAACAGTCAGAATATAAAAACAGAGTCTATGTTTTGTTTAGACAGCAACATAAATCTCCTTAAGTGTGGGGAGTTCTCCATTGCTCCATTTTATTTGGTTATTTTTGACTTAAATGTAACATATATCCAGTTCATGGTACTGATACATGAGCAACAAGATAGCATTGCACATTATTCAGACGGACTGCAAGCCACACACTGCTGCAATGCAAGGCACAGGACTAACCTCCTCAGTGAAGCACCTTTGCCATCATGGCCAACTAGACACTGCTCAGCAGTTGCCAAGCCTGCACACTGTAACATTTGGGGACCTGGCTCATGTTCTTCTTTACTACACCTCCCTCATGTAATTCAATATATACAAAAGGCTGAGTGCACTGTCCAGGTTCCTTTTAAGGAACTGGACACACAGGTGTTAAGATCCTAACACCTTGCAGTGTTGCAGATGACACCAAGCTGAGTGGAGTGGTCGACGCTCCGGAGGGCTGTGCTGCCATCCAGAGGGACCTGGACAGGCTGGTGAGTTGGGCAGAGAGGAACCTCATGAGGTTCAACAAGGACAAGGGCAGGGTCCTGCACCTGGGGAGGAATAACCCCAGGCACCAGTACAGATTAGGGGTTGACCTGCTGGAAAGCACCTCCATGGAGAGGGACCTGGGAGTCCTGGTTGACACTTAGTTAACCATGAGTCAGCAGTGTGCCCTCGTGGCCAAGAAGGCCAATGGGATCCTGGCCTGCATCAGGAGCAGTGTTGCCAGCAGGTCAAGGGAGGGGATCCTGCCCCTCTCCTCAGCTCTGGTGAGGCCGCACCTGGAGTACTGGGTGCAGTTCTGGGCTCCCCAGGATAAGAGGGATGTGGAGCTTCTCGAGAGGGTCCAGAGAAGAGCAACTAAGATGATTAAGGGAATGGACCATCTCTCGTATGAAGAGACGCTGAGTGAGCTGGGTCTGTTTTCTCTGGAAAAGAGAAGGCTGAGAGGGGATCTGATTAATCTGTATAAGTTCAGGAAGGGAGAATGCAGGGAGGAAGGGGACAGGCTGTTTTCACTGGTGGCCAGCGACAGGACAAGGGGTAATGGCCATAAGCTGGAGCACAGGAAGTTCCGTCTGCAGGTGAGGAGGAACTTCTTTACTGTGAGGGTGACAGAGCAGTGGAACAGGCTGCCCAGGGAGGTTGTGGAGTCTCCTTCTCTGGAGGTCTTCAAAACCCGCCTGGATGCCGCCCTGTGCCACATGCTGTAGGTGTGCCTGCTGGAGCAGGAAGGTTGGACTAGATGATCTCTAGAGGTCCCTTCCAACCTTAAATATTCTGTGATTCTGTGATCCAGAAGACTATTTTTCCAGAAAATTAGATGTATCCCATTGCTTCAAAGTGCTGGGCATCTTCAAAAAAACTCGCTCTGACATTCTGTCAAAATGAGCAACTGAAAAAGGATTCAAATAAAACTAGAGGCCTTTTTGGAAAAGAAAACAATAAAAACAATACACTGTATAGAAAATAATACAAGATAAAATCTAATACCCAGCTTCTTTCCCATATTACTTAATACTGTTCAGCCCACTCCATTACACAGGGATGCTACAGATATGGTAGGAGAATAAGGTAACAGAAACATTTCAGACTTTGAAAGTAGGTTATGTTCAAGCTGACATTTCAGCTATGCTGTCCCAATAGAGTTAATTTCAGATTAAATTCAGATTCAGTAAAGTGATTAGGGGTAAACTCAGATGCTTCTTGTGAAGAACTCTTCCTGCAGCTTCAAACCAAAAACAAATGAAGAAGATAATAGCACAGAGCATTTTCTTTCAATTCATAAAAGAGGCAAAATCAGAAACAGTTAGGACTTATCCTGTAAGTACTATCATTAACTGATTTTAGGTTAGTCAGCTACACAGCTATCAGATGGTGTAAAGTATCTGTTCAGATATATATAATCAGAAAAATCAAGGGAGATAAGTCATTTTTTTTTTTTTAGGTTAAAAGTTGATTGAGGCTTCCATCACTGGCAGGAAAGACACTCCAAGTCTTCATCCAAAAATGAAGTCCCCAAAAGGGCTGTTATGCTATGTCTATGCAAATATTCACTGTCAGTTATCAATTTAACAGCTAGCACCTCAAAATAGTCTGGGATGAATTTGGTGAGTATGACAGCAATGAAAATAAATGGAAATTTACAAAACTCAAAAGATTGAGGCATAAAAATGGGCACGGAAAAATAACAAAATTATATAAACAGATTAAAAAGATTTGGAAGATCTGGGTAAAGCAATGGGAAGGATGGGATAGCAACCAACATTTATTACAGATGAAAAATGGAGATCTGCCATTATTTAAGAAAAGATGCACTGAATGACAAAATTCAGATGGCAAGGTTCAATTTGTTCCTGAAAGGCTTACATGAATTATTTAGTTGTTTCATTGGTCCTGGTTTTGGTGAAGAATTATTTCTTTAATTTATAGATATGACTTCTGTTTACTATTAGGATTCAGACAAGACAATGATTCCTGAACTAGCCTTGGACATGTATTATTCATATCAGAACTGCTGGCTCCCAGTGCTTATCCTTAATAAATATTAAAAGAGAAGGATTCTGAAAAAAATATGCTGTGCAAACACTGCCTACAAATTATCTGTCTGTTAGACATACTTTATCAGGAAAAAAATGTGACATCACTTCCTTAAATAATTCTTTTTCATCATATATTTGCTTTGGTAATGTTACTTAGAATGCTACTGAAATATTTTTTAGCATTACAGTACTAATTCACAGGTCAGCAGTCCATTAGGTTATCTGACAGCACAGCAAGAATAAAGAGAGGAAACTGAATGGAAATAGAATATCTCCATCAACCACAGGTCAGTAATGAAATAATGTCATGTATATCATATTATCAGCTTTTCTTTTGGGGCCTAGTTGCAATTTTTTGATGATTCATGTTTCTTTATTTAGTGTTTCTTATTAAAAAATAGGAAGAAATATAAAGTCAAAAATGTTAAAATGCTTAAAATAAAAACCACTTTCAATATCTAAATTAATAAATACTAATTACTTGTCCCAGCTCCTAGTCAATATTATTTTAATAACAAAACCAAAAAAAAGCCAACCTAAATTTAAAAAATTTAGAATTTACGAATATCTTTGCATTTGCTCTTTCATTATGAATCCAGCAAATAAATTTCAACTTGTCCTTCAGATTGACAGTCTTTCTTATACTCTAGTCAAAAATATTATCTAAACTGAATTCTAAGTGTTTTGGCAAATACAGTATCATACCTCTGGACATCTGAAGATTATAGATGCCTTATGTTTGCCTCTTCCAAGGGCAGACGGACAGAATTTCACAGGTACTTTTGTTCTGGAATGAGGAGTGACGATCAACTGTACAAATACAAATACAAAAGCAAAGCAGAGGGAGGACAGAATTAATTTTGGTTTTTTTTTTGGAGACACTTTTTGTTCTGGCAGCATTGACATTTATGTGATTAATGTGCTCCCCCAGATGCATTCTCTACTCGCACCACTAAAGCAGCAAGGCTATTGCAATAAGTAGTCTCAGGGGCAGTCACAGCACATCCCTTCTCCAGAAGGGACTGAGCCAGTTTTAGTGACTTCTCCAGGAGAAGGGTAAAGGTTCTCCCAAATAGCAATGCAAAAAGGCATTTGTGTCTGATCATACTGACAATACCAAAAGGTTATTATGTTCACCTTAAAAGAAGTATATGGGCTTACAAGGGAGAGGGGTGGTAGGTTTTAACAAATGGTTGTTTATTTCTCCTTCTGTTTACCTCTCCATAAACTAACACTGTGAAGGAGGCTGCCAGAATGCTCCCTTCCTCTGAACTGAGCTGCCTGAGTCACAGTTGCACAGGGGGTCATGAAGCAGTAGATGAGCGGTGAAAGAGCAGACTTCTAAATAATACAAATGCCTAAGAATAGACTGAATAATTGGCTAGAATCACTGAATTCACAACTGTTGTTTTAATAAATAATAGGCTTTGAATATCATATATATGTTTACACCATGCTTCCATGTGCAAAGATAGAAACCGAACTGATGAGAATTACAGGCAATCCCACTGCATTTTATAAAATGATATATGTATCACAACCAATAAATTTCAAAATATCACCTTATAGCAGCTGGCAGTGACAACTCCCTTTATGGAGGCAACGACTGCCCTGGAAGAATGGGCTGCTAACAGGCAGGGAAGGAGGGTTATTAAAGAATTCACTCTCCAGAGTGCACCGGCAGCCTCTGCAGCCTCTTGCTCCCCAGGTTTGGCAGCTTGTGCTCGAGCACAGCTCGGATGCAGGCTCACCTCGGAGCTCCCAAAGGCCAAACACAACTGATGGGGCTGCCCGGGGCCCAGCTGCCCCTTGGCAGACACAGACGGGGTGCTGGCCAAGGCCTGGGACCATCGTGGGCCTTTACGATGCTGCTGCCTCACCTTCCTGTCGTCGTCTTGCATGTCATGCAGGTGAGTGGCAACCTGAAAGCACATTTGCCACCAGCAGGTAATTGACAGCAGCCCCTTCCTGTCACCTTTGCAAGTCCTTCACTACCCAGAAAGACCCTCCATGACCCTGGCCTGAAGGAAAGTTACTTCCCACCCACCATCCTCATTCCTGTCTGGGAAGGGATAGGGATACAGAGTTCATTTAGCTGCTCATCATCTGAAAAAAAAAAGCCTGCATAGCTTATTTCTCCATTTCTCCTAGCGAATTACCGTGTATGTTCAATATCCAGAGGCCCTTTTTAAAAATCTGACATTTCTAGTTTCACTTGCAGTCCAGTTCCTCTCTACTTTGTACCATCCAACCAGCTTGGCAGAATACCAACCATGGACTTAGGAACAGCAAGAAAAAAACCCTCTAATGAGCTTTCCCCTCAAATGCTTTTGAAGGAAATGGAAAAGCAAGGTAATGGCACACTCTCTCACTATAAGAACCCAAGATTAGATTGAAAATACATTTTCCAAATAATAATTTCGCTAAAAGAGGGAACTATGTTATTTGTAAAAACAACTCTCTCATAAAGATAAAAATAGACTAAAATTCCATTTTCAATAAGCATTCAATAAGCAGAGCTGATATTTTATCATTACATAGAAAATGTACCACCACAATGAATCCAAAAAGTTCACGCAACAGTCATGGTAACCTACCCACATGCCTGCTCTCAAAGCCTAAAAGGTTTTTACTTTTGACATTATAAATCTTAAAAAAAAAAAGATTTTATATTGTGCAATATGATATTCTACTGTAGCCAGAAAGTACAGAAAGTAATTTGATTTGAAGCAAAGAGCTAGACCAAAAAAAACAAAAAAAAAAGGCAAAAAAGTGAGGAAATAACTTTAACAACACATTTAAACAAGGTCATATTTTGCCACAGCCATTCAGTAAAAGACACAAAAGTCAACCCACCCCCCCGCCTTTCCTTTTGTTTACACAAACAAGTGTCCTCTAAGACACTCATATCAAAGGCAACCAGTAGCTTCTTAATATAAATCCAAGTAGAGAAATTTATCATTAAAGCCCAGCTTATTCTCTACTTCACATGAAATACACTCAGCCATTAGCAAACTATTACAGTTTGCACATAGTGACTTGAGAGAGCAGGCTGCTCTCTCTTCTGCCAACCTTTTTTAATCAAGCTATTTTTCCTCAGTAAAAACTGTGTTTCAAGGCTGCTTAGGATGAAAGACAATATTCTCAAGAGCTTCCTGAAAAGCATGGTTAAAAGCCGGGACAGTAACAAGCTGAAGACAAAGTGAACACATGTTTCTTTTTAGCAATAGAGATGTCCCCATATGTAAGTTGTATCATAAGTACAGATGAATAAATATAACATGCACATCTATAAAATGTCAGTGTATGTATTCATATATTGAGGGAACAAAATAGGCTGGGGAACACAACATTACGGAAAATTGAGAATATTCATCTGTTAAATGATGGAAATGAACCCTGCTCAACTAGACAGGAAAAAAACAAGAGTCCCAGTTTCCAATCCCTGTCCTCCAGAAGCTGGTAACACTCCACAACCTCATCTCAAAAACAACTGAAAAAAAAATTGCAGTAAATCTATAATAGTTCACTCCCATGCCAACATTTAGAGAATTTGGGAACATTTTAAAAGATTTATTAGTTAACATGTACAATGTAATCTTGAGAAAAAGGGGAAAAAATAGGTGTAATCCATTCGAAAAAAAAAAAAATTAGATATAAAAATCCAAATCACATCAAAGAGAATCCTAAATTAATTTTCTTTGTTAACTTTCATCAAGTCTTTAAAAGAAAATCAAGATGCTATATCTCATTGTAAGCTGTTTTAGACTGTAATTACAAAGCTGCTAACAAGATATGTCTCATTTTCTCACTTTCTTCAGTTTACAAAGAACTTAATGGAAATTATTCTAATTTACATGAAGCTTGCAAGAGACTGAAATCCTTCAAATTTTATTCAAAGCCCCCAAATTTTGGGACCAGTTGAAAGTTATTTTCTCGACCTCAAGAATGCCTGTTAATGATGTCTGTATTTGAAATTTAATCAAAATTATAAAAAAAAATCCCCTGTCATATTTCAGAAATTGGAAAGATAAAAACATGCAGTGATTGTGATAAATATCATATTCAATTTTGTTTAAAATTTGTAGTATTAGTCAAAATTGTGGTTACATTTTAGGCTATTCTTTTCTTGGAAGAATTTTTTTTCTCTTACATGCCTCTTGTATCTAATTCATCTAACATAGTTAAGTGACTGATAATATTATTAATGATGATAATATAATTAATGATAGCCTGATTCATACCTAAATATTTTCAACAGTTTCACACCTGAAATGACATAATAACAGATACGTGGAATAACATGAAATACTTAAACATACTGATTTAGAATATCTGAAAATTTAAAATGACTCTACTAATTCTCTTCAATTACCCATCCTAAATAGGGTAATCCCATCTTTGATTTATTGTTGTAATCATCTGCTTGCTATTATTGTATTTATTCATCTGAGAATCTCTCAAATTAGCTCAGCCTTGTATTTTTCCTGCAGACAAGAAAACATTTCCTTTAAATAGAGAAGGAAACATGAATAATTAAAGCAGGAAATTTCTTCAGCATATCACAGAAAGGTTGAAGCAGAATCAGAAGTCAAATCATGTGGAGAGTACAATAAATTTATATGTGAATGAAAACTGCTATCACAATTCATGAGAAAAAAAAAACAGCAATCTCTTGGAAATTGAAAGTAGTGCTGTATGGAAGGATTCAACCTAGGATGCAATGCTGTTCAAGCAAACACCCCCCACTCCCTGACTGTGGGAAAGATATTAAATTAATTTTTACCAAGATAAGTCCACAAAGGGAGAAAATTAGTAGAAAAGTGATAGATACACACAGACAGGCTATATTTCCATAAAATTAAATAAATATCTGACAGTTGTTTATAGCAAATGCCATCCAAAACCACCCTTTAATTGGAAGAGGGAACTATTGCAATTCAGAGAACATTTCAGATTTCAATGCCAAAATGATCCTTAGGACAGAATATTCTTTTAGAAAGAAAAGAAAGAAAGAAAATTGCTGAAGATAGCATTGAATGGGTCTCTTTCTAAACAATGAAATGCAATTATTTTATGTGTGAAATAAATTAGGAAATTTAGGAAGTTAGTTAGGAAGTTAGGAAGTTCCACAAATTAGGAAGGCTGAAAGGAAATGATATCTACACAAGTTGTCACAAGAAAAAAACCCAATTCTGTGCCAATGATCTAAACATAATAGGTATAAATCTCCCAGGTGATCAATATATTTTTATCTACTATATTTTTAGCTCCTTCTTCAAATATCAATTGAAAAAATGACTAGTAATAGCACTTGCAATTTTTACTGAAATGTATAAGATACGCTAAAAGATGTAAACATTTCATATTTCATACTTTAAGTCTGATGTAATGCTATGCAAAATATCAGACAAATTATTAAGCAAATATGATCCTCATTTTGCACTAGTGTACTTTACTGTTTAGTTTCTGAAAGCCAGAAATGAACCTATGGCAATCTTACCAGTTTATGTCTATTTTCACCATTCAACATACGTGCTACCTTATCAGCTCTGTTCTAAGTTCCTATCACAACATTCCCGTCCTCTCTGTTAGGGGAGGACAACATTCCCCACAATGATCCCTTTGCCCCTCTTATACCAGGCTGCACATAAATTAGCTCTGACTGATTCCAGAGTTAATTCCAGAGCGTTCCCAATATCATCTGCGCTACCTTGGAAGATGTAGCTTTCCAATGACTAGTCCTTTGATCTGTGTAAAATTAGAGTGAGATTTGAAACTCACTCTGTGAAACAAAGGAAAGAAACAATGTCCCTCATCCTTTCTCCAAAATATTTCATCATAACAGTTTATGCCCAATGCAAACAGTAACTCCACATACATACACGGTAAACATGGGTTAAACATAGTAAGCAATGGTCAAGAATCAATGTTCTAACATTGATTCTGTCCCTGACATCCTAAAGGCCTTAAGGATCTCGATGAAAATGTGAAAGCTGATTCCCTCTATACAATTCTTGGTCATTAAAATGACAAAAACGTTAGACAAGAAGATGGAAGGGCTCTTGTAAGAGAAGAAAAAAGTAAAGTACATAACACTAAAAACAGGCTGAAGATTTTCTTAGTAGGAAACATTCTCTAGGTAAATATGAGTTTAGAGAATAAAATGTTGCCAAGTATTTGCTTGAAGCTTCCTTGAGGCAAAATGGATAAAAACCAGGCCCTGTAAGCTGGCTGTAAATGCCATGTCTCAGGTATTATATGTCTTATCATACATTAGCATTTTATCACCCTACCTAAATATTTACCTTGTTGATTCCTAAAATCACTTGAACCTTCTAATACAATTGGTTTATTTACAATACCTCCTTCTAATTCCTCCTAATAATTGCAGTGAACACCATAGTCCTTTTCAAAACCATTCCACAAAGCTTTTAAGGAAAAAAAGTGTCTTGTTTGTTGATTTTTTGTTTTTCAGATTGAATTAATTTTTATCCTTCAGCTATAAAATCTCTGAAATACTTCTCTGTATACCCTTTATACTTTCAACATTCAACAATATTTTCACTATATAAAATTGGCTTCCATGTATTTTGAAGAGAAAGCTCTCTTGTATCACTTTGTGAAGGAATACATATTCTTTTTTTTTGTTTTTTTTCCTCCAGTCTACTTACAGGCTGCTTTGGATCGGTCTCAATTGAAAAATTGTTAGGATTGCTGTTAAAAATTTTCAGTTCCAGAGTTTCACATGTAGGATTAAAGACAGGTACGTACAGACGAACCCATCTGGAAAAAAATACATAGAAGTCTATGAAATGAGTATTAATTACAAAGCTTCTTCCATTGCAGTCTATCAGTAATCACTTATTTTCTTTTCAGAAGAATGAATATTACTGAAAATAAGAATTATATTTTACTGCATTTACCAGTTTACCATCATCACAGGCACATATTTATAGTATTAACTATTAATAACTTAATATCAGTTTCATTTTGTATAACTGTTGCATTGCTCATTACAGCATGACAAATCATTATTTGGCATGCAGAAATTCTATATTTCAAAGGATATTGTGGGCTGTCCTAAAGCACACCACATTGCTCACCATGTCAGTGCGATACCATAAATCAGCTGCCCCTGTATGTTACAGGTTTCTTCTTTGTTTTCCAAACAATGTTAATAAACACACAAAAAGAGCCTTCAGTAAGGAACACAATTTTCCAAAGAGGTCAGCAAACTCCCTAAGATTCCTCCGTTGGTATCAAACTAAAATATTATTTGCCTCTGACAGAGATATATGACCTTAAATAACATTCTGGTTATAACACCAAGTGACATGCAAAAACAATCCAAGATGAATCACTGAAAGTAATAAACAGGAAAAGTCTGAAAAAATGAGATACATATATTGGTTTTGCAACAATTTATCTACCTAATGAATATCCTCACTAGTCAAAACTGTGGCAGGTCAATTGCCAGACTGTTCCAGGTATTTATTCTCTAGGATAAATGAGTCAGTTTATCACACCCAGATCAGTAGGGGGAAAAAAATACAAAAAGCAATTTTAATAACAGAAGGCATTTCAGTCAAATGTTGTGACTGTGACTACATGCTCTAACCTCTTGTGTGCAGGTGGACTACTCCTGACATATGCAGTACTGCTCTTGCTTCCATGTGATTCTTCACAACTTTAAGATACAAATTTTCAACAGCTAAGTGATTCTTTGTTTCTCATTAACAATTTCAAATAATCAATGATTTTATCAATGAGCTCCCCGTTTACTCTTTGCTATGTTTTCTGCAGGTAGAAGAATTCTCAATAATTCGACTGTAACAGCAACACCACTGTCCAAAATTTGCCTCTATAGAAAATCCACATCTTTTTTGCTTGGAGTCCCTGAGTCCAGCTGCTTAGTATTCTGCTCTTGGCAGTGGAGAACAGTATTTTCCTTTCCTCCAGATTGCAAACAGAGATGTAGAAGAGTTCAGGAATGTAATTATATTCCAATTAATCACAACTGTTGATCTTCTAGGGAAAGCATTTTTTGCTTATTTGTTAGTTTTTGTTTTGTTTACTCTTCCTACCATTTCCTATTCTATTTCTCATTTTCCTCCAGGTTGTTCCTCTCTTTACCTTTTTGTTTCCCAGACTGAGTTATGATAATGGAAAGAAAAAAGAAACGCCTCTAAAGGCCTCTGCTGTCTGACATCTTGACACCTCTGGCTGTTTCAAATAGGATGCGCCAATACTCTTTATTCACAGACACTCTTTATTCACATTAGGAGAACTCATTCAGGAAAAGGGCACAGGAAATGTTTACTGAATTCTGAAAATGTTGAAGAAAACAGCAATTTCATGCAAGCCAATAGTGTTCTCCAAAATACTACCAATATTTCAAAAGGACTGCAAATATTCATGACACATTTTTAGGGGTAAAGCCACTGTAAATTGATCCATGAAACTGATAAAAGCAGTACCATCACATGAGTTATGTTATACAAGACTGAAAATAAATCTTCCACAAATAGCAGCAAACATTAAGATGTAAGTGCCCAGTGTGACAATACAGAGTATATGGCTTCATTAATAGCTGAATGTATAAAAATACCTACGTTTCTACAGCATCTCATACAGAAGACAACTGCTTTTTCAAGATCTGGCTCTAGAAAACATTCTAATCACTTAGTAATCTAAAAAGCATTTCAAATACTTCTTACCATTTCTTACAAAACTTACTGATTGCACATGGGTAAGGATTTGGAAGATGTGGATAAAATTTTGGGCAGCATTTCAAGGTAAGTACAATATGCAGATGACACATGCTAAATTCTACTGAAAGAGCTGAAAGATTTAATTGAACAGAAAGTGGAAAACTAGGAAACCCAGAATATGAGACAGATGAAGGAAACAGTAAAGAAAGAAGCATGTCAGGTTTTTATGGCTTTTTATATTGCCTTACATAATATGTATCTATGTATATATATTTATATATGAAAAGACTATCACTAATTTGTTTCCATATATTACTGCTGTTGCTGTTGCTATTAATAATTCAAATAAATAGTATTGGTCCATTCTTCCTCTGCTATCTCCAAAGGGTAAATATAGATCATTTAATGTACATAAGCAGAGGAATCGACATACAATTAATGGAAAATATTTCTTCTTTGAAAAAGTAAAATCTGAAATTATCTGGGATACTATTATTGATAGGAAAGTGCCGGACTTCATTCTTTCCAACCTACATTTTTATTTGCAGTACAAAGATATGACTTCCTGATCTGAGGCAGACCACTCATGCATGCAGTTCACATGCAGTGCATACTAGAGAAAATGTGGAATGTCAGTCTGGATGAAAAGATTTAAAGTTATTTATTATACATAACAACATCAGCCTTATTATTCAAAGAAAAAAATACGATTTTTATTCCAGTTGGAAGCACAGAACTTGAAATGACAAACAGACAGACGTACTGATTTTATCTAATTAAAACCTAATAACAAATTCACTGCCAGTTAGACTTCGTCTGAACATCATATATTAGCATTAGATTAACTGAAAGCTGAAATTTCTATACTCAACATCTTCATTCAAAATAGTTAAAAATGCTTAAAATCCCTGATATATGTTATTAAATTATATGACATAAAACTATTTTTTATTTCATTCATCTTATCTACCAATAAAAATTTAATCAGGTAACATTTTACTTTTTATTCTCTAATACTATACTAATTACAAGATTCAGTCAAAGATAAAATTGAGAAGTGAGTGAACTTGAGCATTCTGAAGAGTAATGTATCCACAAAAACTACTATAAACAGAGACAATAGATGGAACAACACTGCTGAATTTATAAGGTCCTTGAAAATCTGATCCTAAAATTTTCCTTCTTTGTCATGAAAGTCAAGAGTAAAATATACTATTTTATAGTATAATTTTATGGAATTATATTATAGTATACTATATATATATAGCATATACTATATATATATATTTGTGTGTAATTAAGCATGATGTGCTATGTACTTACTTTCCAAGTTCACATTCTATTTCAGGTAGAGTAGTCGGCAAAGGTTTCTCTACAATCAGCCTCAGAGCGTACCAAAACTCTCCAACCATCTCTGACAGGAATATGACACTAAAGACAGATACATAAGCACCATATGACACAGTTTTTGTATAGGCAGATAAAAATGCAGAGACCAGAATTTAGTAGAGAAAAAGTACTATGTTCAATACAGTGAATTCTCTAAATAGCTATCAGTTGTCCCATACCCATTCTTTTTGGTATTTGTATTCAGCTACCAAGCCTAATAATATTTACAGTTACTGAAGCAAGGAAATGTTCTCTTCATCTTTCTTAACTTTTCAGCATAGAAACTATGTTTTTAATAAAAATTGAACAGCGTTTCCATTGTCAGCTTATAGAGTAAGCATTATTTTCATTTTAACATGGCAATATTTCCTTTCTAGTTAGTTTAAGCTCAAAAGACAAATAGAAGAACCATTCGCTAACTTTAAAAAGGAAAACCTTTTCAAATATAGTAGTGAAAACTGAAAAATAGATACACATGGTTATATGGGCATGGCAAATAGATATGTTTCAAAGAAACATTCAACATACTGTTTTCATATAAAATCATATTTTGTCATGATTGGAAATTGTTTATTGCTAGGTGAGATATGTACATTAGTAAATTCCTGTGACATTCTAACATATTCCATTCTCTTATGGATTTCTTTTTCTAGTTCTTGTCTGTGAATAACAGCTTAGAAGAACAGCAGTTAAAAATGGCTTAAAACTTTTAAAATATATGAAATACACTGGGCAAATCCATGCCCCATTAAAGACCAGCTGTTTTTCTAAATGAAGCCAATTCATGTCTGTTTCATGACTTTATGTTTCCAGACTATCACACAGTAGCAACAAACAAGTCACAAAGTGAGCATAAATTAGTTCAAGAAAGCATCGTCATCCAGTCGTAAAGGCGCACAAACATTTTTGTGTTGCTCCATCCCAGCTGCTCCCATAGCAAAGGCAACTGAACACGGCTACAGAAAAAAAAGACAATAACTTGTTGTAGCTCAATGTACCTCTGTCCAGCTGTAATTGCAGTTCTTGGGAGGTAGATCGCTTTCTGCTACAGTACATCAAAATGCATTAAAGATGTACCATGTCCTTTATGTCCTCTTTGCGTATATCACTCCCAAATAGAAATTTCCATTTCTATGTGAGAAGAAACTTCTCTGCTGTGAGGGTGCCAGAGCCCTGGCACAGGCTACCCAGGGAGGCTGTGGAGTCTCCTTCTCTGGAGATCTTCCCAACCCGCCTGGATGCCGCCCTGTGTCCCGTGCTCTGGGTGTCCCTGCTGGAGCAGGGGGGTTGGACTGGATGATCTCTAGAGGTCCCTTCCAACCTCAAGCATCCTGTGATTCAAAAACCCTGCCAATTAGCTGAGTTCTGGCCCATATTTTTCTAGTTAAAAGGGACCTTTATGTTATTACACACTTGAAAAATACTTTATCAGAAATATTCTCTGATAGAAAAAAAATGAAGTATGATTTCATTCTGAGCTTCAGAATGCATTATTTCTACCTCATTCCTCAGAAAAAAAAATATTTACTAAAGTGTTACTTCCTATTAAAGTGCATTATCTGCTAGCTATATTGTGTGAGTAAAGCTGCCATTACTCCAGTCTTGAGAAAAATACAGACAAACTGAATAAAAACTTTGAAATACATGGATTTGGGCTTTGCAAATACTGCGTATCAGCACACAGGTCATCTGTGTCTCTAATTGTCCTCCTCTCCCCATCCTTCACCAATCAAAAAAAGCCGCCAATCAATTTATACCATTAGCAAATGAGCAGCTCTTTTTTAAGTCAGCACTTCAACTGAATAATGCTCTATTAGTAAAATCCCAGGAAAACAGGCTTTGCTGTCTTGCACTCTTCAGCTGCTTGCTCTAACTGGTTCAGCTAGGGACCATGATCAGCACTAGCAACTTGAAAAGTAAAAGCAAGAGGTCATTAATCTTTTCATTGCTAATTATCATCCTACATAATCTCTTTCAGATTTCCAATGAAATATTTTTAATTTAAAACCTCTCCATATTCATTAAGTAGATCATTTCTAATTAATAAAAGATTCTGAAACTAATGGATTTCTGGAAGACTGTTAAATGGTTCTTAACCTGTTTTTAATGTTGGTGGTGTTACAGTTTAGTTGCTTCTCTGCAGAACAAATGAAATCAGAATATTTCTTTTATTGAACTTATAAAATGAACAATTAATTTAAAGTTTTGAGAGGGAACTTCTAAATAAATATCTATTGCATTGCTCACTGAATCCTAGTGAAGTAGCAAAACTAAGGGTTATTCTAATGCTTATCGATAAGAAGGTCTTTCTTCTTCTCAGAGGAAGGCTGAAGTTTAGAGTACAATACACTTAAAGTTAGAAATATTTTTAATTGCCTTTTTGACTTTTTTTTCCCCTTAAGATGATATCTAGATATGTGGACCAAGTGATCAACAGTCAATTAAAATCCTTTTTTTTCTTATTAGTACGAGAGTAACAAACACAAGTATCATGATATTGTAACCTACCTTGCATCTGAAGTGCCAACAGCAACTGGAGAAAACCTTATTCGATAACTAATTGCTTGCTTGGGCCTAAGAATTAATGTTTTTTTTCCATAAAGTGAATGATTCTCTATCATTACATTCAAGTGAAGAAGTTCATCTGTAGGATTAGTGATGGGAATATCAATTCCAGCAGTATCCTAGAAACACAAAATAAATTATGAGCCATTACATGTAAAAAGACCTTTGTTAAATAAGCACAAGATGCTCACAAATGATTTGCATTTATACAAACTCCATCTGCAACTCTGTTACATGAACTAACCCCAAATGGAGCAGTTGCAGCAAGGGACAAGAAGTTTTACAATTTTGCAATTGTAAACTCCTTGTTTGTAGAAACAAGGAAGAAAAACAAGTCTTCCCAGCAGCCTATACTCTAACAAGTTACTCTGCCTGCCAAGATCTGCCTAAGACCTGTCAATCACTGTCTTGGGGGCAGATCTGCTGCAAGTTCTCCGAGCCATCTCTCACCAGCTGAGAAGAGCTGGTTGCAAAGAGCCATTCAGCAAGCAGGTAGAAAATTATAGGCTGTTTTTTGCAAGATTTTTTTTTCCTCTTGATTTCTAATTATACCATAATACTTTGTACTAAAAAGCAAACCAACAGGACCACAACAAACATTCCTGCTCTTGTTCCTTTTTGACACTTATTTCTTCTATTAGTGATCTCCTTATCTTTCTGTTTAAAGCCTAGCAAAGCTTTAGGTGAGAGACATTTTTTTTCTTGTACATCTGGAAAATATATGATACTTCCTAGACATTATTGAAGAAGCTCACTGACTTCCAATTACCATAATAATGGGGAGCCAAACTATGGCCTGACTAGGTAAATATGCATACTGTATATGGAGATCATCTTCCAGAAGAGCAACCTTCAGTTGAGCAGAGGCCCTCATTCCACAGAGCTGCTGCTCTTGAAATGCTCCTCTATTTCAGCAGTGTTCAGTCACCTCCTTCTTTATTGCATAGTACAAAACAGAGTAAATCCAATCTTCTAAATCGTTATACATGGAAGTATCAACATGCTTTCTCAAACTAAACACTTTCAATCAGATAAAAAGACATATTAATGCAAGTCATCATAACCACTGAGGATGCATACCTGCTGTTTAAAACACTTATATTCTGTGCATATATGTCCATATAATTAAATATCCACTATATATAAATATATCCTATGTGTTTTCCCATTTTCTTTCACCCACTCAATCAGTTTCCTTCAAAATAAGCTGCAAACACATCTGATAGATGCTTATACCCTCACATTTATAGAAAACAACTACTGGAACATCCTGAAAGGCATTTAATTCACCAATAGCAAGATTATACCATAATTTAAATAATTCAAACACATTGTGGCAGTAGGAGGGGTTTTAAATTTGCAATAAAATACTCTAAAATTCGGAGTAACCGTTTTTACTGATGTAAACAAATTTCTAAGTCTACTTACCATTTTATTACTAACAGTTCCATAACAAAACACTGTAAAATTCCGACATCCTGTCCTGCCTACTGCATATTGCAAGAACGGTAGAAAGGGCAGATATATGTGTACCTACAAAATACATCTATTATACCATTCTAAGCCTTAATAGAATCTTCCAAATCCTTCTTATGGAGGCATAATACTGGGATAAATCAAAAAAAAATGTTCTTCTGATTTCCAAAAGTATTATTTTTCATGTAAATAACATTTTTTTTCACAAGAGAGTCAAAGGAGCAATATCATAGTAAGTCCCAAACACATTTCCAGTGGTACATTTAGTAACATATTTCAATATATGGATCATTTTTTATAAATATCTTGAGAGCAGAAAAGTATAGGAGTTGAAAAAAGATTAGTCTTAATCTTCACCAAGCTGCTCCATGTGTCAGGGCAGCCAGAATCCAAGACAGACCCACTGTGTTGCAGCATTTCTTTTTTTATTATTTTATTCCTTGAGAATTTGTGCTCCAATTCCTGTGCACTGCAGGTCAAGTAACATAATCTAAATTAATGAATAAAAATAAAATGGAAAGCAAATATGGAATAACATTCTCCTTAAAAAAAAAAAAAGAAGAGTGGTTACACTTTTATCTACACCAATAGCTTGAGACCATGCATAGGTGTAATGCCTTATTACCAACATTTTGCTTCACAAGATCCTTACCAGCATCAACTTTTTGTGATATTAGCTCTTAGCTGAGATATTTTCCTGACATATTTCATGCCAAACATTTCCTCGCCACTTCATTTCTACATTAAGTAAGTGGATTTTATGGATTTAATATACAGCACAGCATGTATACAGCATGTACAGTAATATGTAGTTTTACATTTTACTGGAGTAAGGGAGGACACTTCAAGAGCATATATTCCGTGCTTGTCAAGCTATCTATCATGTCTTCAGCCCAAGAAGAAATCATTCATATTGAGAAACTCAAACCAAAGTGATATTACAGTTTTGGTTTTTTTTAGCATATAAAATATATGTCAATGGAGTAAATAATAAGTACCTATCCAGACTTTCATATATTGCAACTTTTGCCCAGCTGTTTAAGGTTTCCATTTTGGTATGGATGGATAGAAGGAGTTGTAGAAAAGACTTGAGGTGAATTACAAGAGAAATGCTACATTAACATAATTATTAAAAAAAAGCACATCTGTCAAGGAACATGGCATAAAGGCTCTTTCACAGCCAAATTAATCTCTCAAATCCCCATAACCCAGAAAGTAATAATTATGCTCATATGCTACTGAATATTCTTCTTCATTTAAAATAAAGTCCACTTTTTTGTCCATGTAGATTGAAACTCAGTAATTATTCATCTTCCTGAGGCCATGGTCTTGATTTCTTTTTCAGATTCAGCAGTGTCAGAAGCAATTATAATTATAGGCATTTGTCATCAACCTCTGTATGAAAGCCTGCCACTTTCAGGGACCAAGTTAGTCAGACTAAGCCACCATAAAATGTAACCTGGCTAAAACAGGGTAGGGAGCAGAAAGGTAACCTTTTCCACCTCCACATCTGAAGCAGAAGAAACCTCCCAGCGTGTTAATGTAACAAATGACTTAATTCAGATAATTCAGCTTGAGATAATTTTACAGGACAGCCATTATATCTCTTTTGTCAATGGCATTTTTGGAAAGCTTGACTCAGTAGCTGATAGACTTGCAAATATGTCCTATTCCTCACTGTCATGGGACACCTTGCTGTGCAGATTCATGTAATATATAAGATGTAGATTAGATGGAATGATGGAAACAGCTTGAATCAGATCAATAGACACATTTACAATCACATGTTCTATGGGACTTCAATAAATCCAGAGGCTGTACTAAAAAAAAAAAAAAAAAAAAAAAAAAGGTTTTCTTTTTTTTTTTTTTCTTTTTTTTTTTTTTTTTTTTTTTTGTTTTCTTTTAGAATTTACAACCTACTTCACAGACTAGGTGGTGTTCATAAGGCCAAAAGAAAATACTTCCTTACTTCAGGCAAGTATCACTCAACAGAACCGCTAAGAGTATAGCATTTGTAAGCTGGAAACACTACATTTTAGCCATATTACAGTCTCAAGAGAGCTATTAGCAACTACTGCAGTTTCAGAGTCAATAATGCCTCAAGGAAAATCAAGATACAAGCACAGAGGTCTTTGTCCAAAATAAGCCTCCAAATAGTGAAAATCACCATTTCTATCTAGCCTTTCCTTTGGGAGGTGAAGGAGATATAAAATTTTAGGATGTTTTCAGATTTCTAATAGCTTCTAATATATCAGGCAGATAAGCAGGCAGATAATTAACAAAAAGCATCTTTTTATAATTATCTCTCTCAGATTGAGACTAAATCTTAGCTACAGAGATCTTTGTGAATGGCAATCAGATACATATTTAATCAAATCCTGATCACTCTCTTATTTACCAAAAAAAAAAATGCACAATTTTCCACAAATTTTGTATATATATAGAACTACAAAGTTCATTTCCTGAGTTAAGTGCATCTACCTATATAATGCTACAGCAAGGACAGAGCTGCAACTATTTTCTGCTGATCACTTCTACATGTTCATAGGGCAGTCAATGACTGCAACATAATATAATTACTTTTAGAAAATTCTAGTAGCATTCAGTTTAGTTAGTTGACTGGATACAGAAACAGCTATATGGAAATATGAGCACGCTGCCCTGGATTGAAAATTTGGCGAGACAAAGCTAGGGAGCCCCATCTGCATCCAACTACATATAAGACAGAGACTACTCAGGGAGATGCTGAGATACTAGTTGTCTCAGAACTGTCCAGGAAAAAAAAACTGAGCATCTTCCATGTTCCATCATTTCCAAAAAAGTTTACTTAAAAAGCTTCTTGGTAAAAATAAACTTAAACTTCTGATAAATGTAAAAGAATCTGATGACGCTATGGTGGAATATTAATAATAATGAATTATCCTGATGATGCTATGGTAGAATATTAATAATAATTATTACAACACTCTGACCTTCTTCAATAACTCCTGTTACATGTGTGGAAGCAAATAACCTTTGCGTTACTACGCCCAGTTCAAGCTGGTATGAACTAGCTGAAAGTACTGCTTCATTTTCTAAACTATTCTCAAATCTGAAAACCCTAAACTTTACTGAATCTTTATGATCATAATAGTAAGATAGTAGTCCACCTAGCACCAAGGATCTCAATCAGCAAAGGTAAAATATTAATTATTTTAGGTGTCTTAAATCTTGCATCTGAAGTAATTCGCTTAATGCATAGGCCTAAAAAGAGAATTTAAAATCAGTCAGTAAGTATGTATAACCTATAGCACATACAGGAGTAGAGATTATTCTAGAGCAAAACTAAAATTTTCTACTGAGAATATTTTTTATTCAGAATTCTCCAAGAACAGAAGGTGATAATGTTTGTCCACAGAGAGAGGTAAAATAACTCAGATAAAGAAGTCTTCTCTGATAGTCTAGAATTGTTTTCCTAAATCTACTTTGGGGCATATATCTCTGCAAATTCAGAAGTCATATGGTAACTGTATATAATGTGATCAGACTTTTTGAACTGTTGAGGCTTTTCTGAAATTGGAAATATCTAAAAATGTGAAAGAGGAATGCTTTCTAAAATAATTATCTATAGGAATTATCAATTTAGTTTTAAATTGACTGACAA